ACAGCTGACTCAACTTCCCAAGCAGACCTACAGTTACTCTCTCGCCTCCCTGGCTACACCTTCTTGATTCCCAAGAAAATCTGAGTGACAGGAAGCCTTTCCCTGGTAGAAGCATCAGATCAAAAACTTGGAAACCCTGAAACCTTCAGTTCAGCGCCATTCCTGGACGGTTCAGGGTGGTCTAGAATGTGCACCACCCTTTTTTAATTTGTGCTTTCTATGGAGAAGGTAGCATTTGGAGGAAGAGAGAGGGTGTTGTGCTATGAACTGAGAGTGCACATAAAGAGTCCAAAGTGCCAAAAGCCCGCAAAGTGGGAAGAAGAGCTGGCTAAGCACAGGGCATTTAGCACCCATACCCACCAGAGCCAAGAGGTCCTCAGAACAGGTTACAGAAGTAAGCGCTAGACTGGCCACAGGCTCCACAGGTAGCCACTTGCCCCTGCCGGGAGAGTAGAACACAAAAAAAGCAGCAGGGTCTTGGATGTGTCTCAGCAGCAGACTTTGAACCTCAGAAGTCTGACACAAAGCCCAAACAATGCATAGGAAACAAATTAAAATGGACATCCTCTCTCTGTCCCAGCCCAGACGGCACAGATGCTGTCGGGTTTGGGCTGCACAGCTATGGAAATAGCCAATAAGCCGCAAATGCCACGTCCTGGGCTAAACCGCCGCCAAGCCCCAGCCAGCATTTCTGTGTGTGTATCTATGGCCTCCACTATGAGCCCAGGGCCCCCAGCAAGGACTGCAGTCCCCTGCCAGAATTGGCCTTCACTCATCTCTCTCCCCCTTGAGTGCATCTGCAAGGCACAGAGGAGCCAAGCAAGCCTTGCCTTACTCAAGGACAGCAAAACGTTGGAGCGTGGTGAGACTTGATGGAGATCTGCTGCCACCTGCTGTCTGTTTTCCTACACAGCCAAAAATGCTCTTGGGCAGCAGAAGACTAGAACTGACTACTGAGGCTGGATCCAGACTGCAGAGCAAGGCAGGTTAGTCTGTGAACTGAAACCATAGCCACTCCCTGTCCAGCAATACAAATGCACCAGCCTTTGGCATGCAACTGCCTCCCCACACCCTAGGTGCTCCTGTCCCCAGAAAGCACCCCTTCAACTGCTCCCCAACGTTCCGCCCTGCTGCGGCCAGTCCTTAGCAACCAGTCACTTGGGGCCTCACCGTGGGCCTGGAGGCTGACTTGTCTCATCCTTCAGCATCCCTTACTGGTGTCTTGCAAGTCTGGGACACCCAGGGCAGCAGCAGCCATACCTCCCATCTGATTGCTAGAGCAGGATGTGACCCAACACAAAGCCTGTGGTGGGTGACCACAGCACTCCAGCACAGGGGTCACAGCATCATGGTGGGGAAGGTGGCTGTGAGCCTGAAAATGGCTTTGTGGCAGGTGCCTTTCTGTGGTCTGCATGCTCAACCTGTGAGGCCTGTCTCCCCAGGGCAGCCTTCCAGCAGCAGGCTTTGCAGCTTGTTCACTGTTTTAGTAACACCCAGGAGCTGCATGCATGAAGAAGGAGCCAAGAAGTGAATATAGAAGCCACTGGTGCCTGCCCAGATATGCTGGTCTGAGCGGACCTGTGACAGTGTTGAAGGCTAAGGACTCTCTGCTATGCCCATTTCTAGAGAACTGTCCTTGGCCCATCTCACCTAGGAGGCTGCGCACTGCTCACCCCACCCTAGATGGGCAGACCCTGGCCAAACACTGTCACAGGAGTACAAACAGCCCACTTCTTTCCTTTCAGATAGGACCAATTCTGGCTCAATTTCAACCCCACATGCCCCCATAGGATCACAGAGAAACCCCACACCCTTGTTGAGCTTGCTCTCAGCTTTCTTCCTGTCCCCCTTGTCCTGACACCACATCCCCAGCAGATTATACACACACACATCTGTCAGGTGTAGCTTCTAGAGCACAGAACCCCAAGCTGCTTGGGGGGTATTGGTTCAAATAGATTTCTGGGTTCAGCCTCCAGAGCTCCACCAAGCTCCCAGGTGAAACAGAAGTTTCTTCCAACCCTAACCCTGACTCATGCCCTCATCAGCTCTCTCCTACACCATGGCAGTCACCTCCCAAGACATCTCCCTGCTCCCACGCTTGACTCTGAGCGCCCCTTCTCGACAGGGCAGTCACAGGGTTCCTTTGAAAAAACCTGTCGGGACCCAGCATGCTACTAATCCACTTCCAAAGGCTCCCCAGCATCTGACAGAGATGCCAGCACTTCCAGCCACTCCCAGGCCCCACCTGCCTCTCCCCTTCACACCTTTCCTCTCTCCGCCCCCACACCAGCCTCAGCCCCAACACACATCCCACCACGGGGCCTGCTTTCTCTTACATGGCCTGAGCGTCAAGGGCTGGTCCCCTGTCTCTGTACTGCTCTCTCCTTAAGCATGACCTTCACTGAAAGGCTTTCTTAGGCAGCCCCAGCCCCAGGGACACCCACACACACACACACACACACACACACACACACACACACACACACACACACACACACACACACCATGGCATCAGTGGAGCCCGTGTGTATTTGAGGTGTTGTTGTTGTGAGCTGCCCTTCCCTCCTAGGGGCAAGGACTGGGCCTGCTCTGTTCACACTGATCTCTGGTGGGTAAACTGAGTCTGGCAGGTAGCCAGCCATCACACAGCACAGAGCTTGCCAGCCAATGTCAACCACAGGTTCTCCTTATTGTAAACAATACACTTCTCCTGGTATAAATAAACATTCCTATGTGGCACCTGCAAGGGCATAAGCTGTGGAGTCAGCAAGAGAGGCCAGCAGTCAGCACCCTACCAGCATGGCTAGCTCTGACACCTGACATGCATTCGCTTTGCTAAGGGGTTGTTGGACAAACGAACTGAATAAACCGATGTGCCTGTGGATAGACAGTTTGTTCCTAACTGCTTCCCCTTAGGAATTCGGGGTTTGAAATGAAATTTACCCTAAACCAAGGGTGCTATGACCTGGAATACAGGGTAGGGAGTGACTGCTGCTGGGATACACCCTCCCCACCCCTCCCTGCCCACGAGCATGGGGAGAGCCACACATACACAGAGAACTAGCCGCAGGTGCCACGTGGAGAGGAACATGGAGTTACAAGAGGACTTGGCTATGCACATAAGAGGTCAAGTGCCTTGCTTCCTTTTCTCTGCCCTGTGATCTCTGCTTATTCCCCTGCCAAAGGGCTTAGCAGCCAAGGGCCTTTCTTAGCCCTGATGTTCTATGGCAGGAAGAATTTAAACAGACCCTCACAGACCACTCTACTTTAAAAAAAAATTAGGGGGTGTGCACTTAGCTTAGCAGTTGAAGGTGTCTGCTAAGATGCTCACTGTTGATATCAGAATACCTGGTTTCAAGTCCTGTCTCTAGCTCCCAATTCCAGCTTCCATCCAATGCAGACTCTGGGAGACCCAGAAGTAACTCTTGACTCCTGATTTCAATCTGATCCAGCCTCAACCAGCATGGCCATTTCAGGAGTAAACCAATAATGGAAGATCTCACCCTGTCACTCCTTGTGTGTGTAACTCTGTGTTTCAAATAAATAATTTTTTCCTTTAAAAAAAATCACCTAAATTAAAACTATTCCTGCTAAAATGAATGAGTGGCAGGGAGGATTTAAATTTCCACACACATGCTACAGTAAGATAAGCTTAAATGTATCCTGAGCCATAAGAGAACATCAAGAAATATTTACAACATTCAATAGATATATGGACAGACTAGCAATAAACTATAGATTAAAAAAAGGAAAATCAGAAAATATTTTCAAATTAGCCAATACATGTCTAAACAGCCCACAGTTCAAGGAAGAAATTACAGTAGAAATTATGAATTATCTTAACTAAACTATAAGAACATGTAATATATTAACTTGGAGGATAAAGACAAAGCATTATTTAAAGGGAAATTTACAGTCTTAGGAGAAGGAGGTAAAGAATTTGTTATTTAAGATCCATTATCAGTGAACTAGAAAATAATAGCAAAGTAAACTCAAAGAAATAACAAACATAAGAGCAGAAATCAGTGGAATAGAAAGCAGACATTCAAAGGGCAAAAGTTTGTTCTTTGAAAATACTACATAATTATAATACTTAATTGATAAACTCTCAGCTAGATTAGTTGAGATGATCCAAAATCACCAATATCAGGAAAGAAATAGCACTGTTCTTAATGTTCAAATGTTGATTAAAAAAAAAAAGATGTAATACCAACAAATTTAAACTATGGATAAAATTATGCAATTCCTCAAAAAAAGTTTGCCAATACCAACAAAACAAAAAAACTTTCAGCTCCATGTTCAGAATCCTTCTCCAGGAATTCTTCCAAGATAAAGCAGAAGAATACCAATGTTACACTAACTACTCAAGAAAACAGAAGAGGGACCACGTCCAGCATGACCTACATGTTGTTACCAGTCAGGCTATTCCAAGAGTGGAATTCTGTCAACTGGCTTCCTCCACGAATGTATACCCGAAAACCCCTGCAGCAAATACTCATCAGCAAAACCACCAATAGAGCGAAAGATGACATACAACCTCATGGAGTGAGGCTTACTCCAGGAGTGTACAATTGGAAAACTCAATCAATGCTGGAATCATCCAGCCTACAGTGAAAAGGATAAATCTAAGAAAGTGATGGTGAGGGGCGGATAAAACAGAACCATCTGAAAGGGGCTCCTGGGAGTGGATTCATCACTGAGCCTCTGGCCTCTCCCAGCAAACATCATCCCCACGTCAGCCAGGCCTGGTGGCTTGGGGCCCTTGCTGAAACCCTGCATTGGGAACAACCAGCCAGGGTCAAGGAGACCTGCTCTGTAGTTTCTAGGCTGTGGCTTTTTTTCTGGGCCAAGTTTTCTTCCCAGGTGACCAGAATCAACCCTGCCTTACCTACTTCTCAAGCTCATCACCATGAAAGGCCAGGGAGCCAAAGACAATCCTGTGGGATCCGTAGGAACCAGGCTGGCACATGAGAGGGGGCGCCAGAGCACCTCACACTCACCTGAGAGCCGGGGGCTGGCCGCTCTGGCGCCGGAATGCTCTCTCCAGCCTCTCCTGGCTCATCCTGGAATTCCCACCAGGCAGGGAGAACTTGAAGGGCGTCCTGTCCACATCTGGGCTGCTGTCTGTTGGGAGACTGTCCTCTGAGAGCTCTTTGGATCTGGCTCTCTCCGGTGGGGGCAGCCCTCTGCTGGGCAGGTGGGAAGGGCTGCTGGCAGGAGTCTTGTGCCTTTCTGTGCTCTGGTCTCTGAGCAGACCCAGGGGGCTCCTGGAGGTGGAACCACTGCCCAAAGCCAGGACCTCCTGTGGCGCTGGACTGGCCGTAGGACAGGTGGAGGGCTCAGGCACCTTCCCAGTCTCCTCCTCTTGGGCGTGGGTCACGCTGCCTGTGGCTGGGGACCGCCTCAGAGAGCGCCTGCGGAAAGAATCCTGAAAGGACAAAAAAAAAAAAAAACCATGTGGTTGGCTTATGCACTGTACTTCCTCTCTAAAATAAAATTAAATAAAAAATCAAATTCTAAAACCTGTCTGGCCCAAAGGTTTGGAATGAAGGATGTGGCAAGGATGAAATGAGATGAATATGAGGCCAGGTACATCACAGCACTTAGCAAATGCTGGCTGCTCCTGTACCTGTTTGGCCCTGCACTCTCTTACATGTGGTCTTAACCCCCTCCTGATGTTGGATCAGGAATGGCAGAGCCTATGGGTCACTCATCTCTGCTGTCCACAGAGCTGCCACCTCAGCAGCCTACCCTCAGGTGCTGCTTAGTTCACAAAAGCCAACTGCAATGTCCTCTCTTGCCATCAATGACAGCCCAATGAGATGGACACTCCTGCTGTGACTAGACACTGGTGAGGCAGTCAGGTCAGAGAGACAAAAATAGATCCACTGGGCTTCTCCTGGATTTGTGGACCTCTCAGTGTTTCCAGAATAATCCAGGGCCTGGTGGAAAGGCCTGAGCTGGAAGAAGCAAAGCTAATTTTGAGTATTCTGACCTCAAGGAAATGACTAGACACCATAAACCTGCTTCGGAAGCCAGGCAGGGTATCCCTTCTGCACAGTGGGAAAAAGACGTGAGTCATCCTTCCCATGGGGTTTCAAACTTTCTGCCCCTGAGGGAGCCCCACTTCTTACATCAGCTTTTCCAAACACAGCTGATCTAACACCCACGGGTGCTGTCAAAGCACAAAACACCTTCCAGAAAACTCCGGGAAATGCTGTAAACACCCATCCTTCGCGGGATTTATCTCCACCTGGGGAAGAACAGTTCCCTAAAGGAGAAGCTCACAGCAACACCTGGCAGTCAGGTGGTCCCAGCCATCTCCATCAGACCAGTTAGGAGGAGCCCTGACTACTCAAATTGGAGTAGAACGCTGTGGTAGATAGGACTGTGGCGTTCATGCGCTCACTGGTCCTCAAGGCGTAGCCTGCTCACCCTTGTGGAGAATGCAAATGTGTCTCATGCTAGTACCATGACACAATCTGCCTTTTCCTTCACGTTGATTCTGCTCGCAAGGGCCAGGCGGTGGCACCAAACTGACGAGTACAGCACTTGTCATAAAAAAAAAAATCAGACCTCACGGAATACTAGCCTCGCACAAGAATGTCCAGATTGCCACAGAGATCATCAGTTCCACTCAACGCAGCGGCCATCTTCTCTTTGACAGTCTGTGTGCTGAGACTCAAAGTCGCTATGCTCACTCCGCTGAGTGTGTGAAGGGGGTGGGGGGCAGGCGGAAGGCGCTAACCACGTGTAACCATAAATGGTTTTAAACTTAAACAATGGTTATTCAGACCTGGGTGTTTAGCAGGCATTTTCTTGAAAATAAATTGAGCCTGTCATTTCAAGGAAATTAAGTAGTGTTTTACTGTCAATGATAAAATGCAAGTGGTCAGGTAAAAAAACAAAATTTTGGTAAACTATCTGCCGCTGTGACCTTAAGAGTTTCATGATTCATTAAAACTTGAGTATTGGGCGCCAAAGTAAACCTGTGATTTTTTTTTTTTTTAGTGTGGATTTCTGGAAAATAAATTGTGTCTCCATTTAGAAAGTGCACATAACTTAGAAGCCAACACTTTGGAAATGATCAATGTATCCTGCCATTAAATCATGCAGAGGTAAAAGATTCAAAATGCAGAACAGAGAGGTGGGACCTGATGAAGTAACGAGTTCATTGACATGGCTTTAATATGCCACTTAAGCCGGGATCCCATCTGGGCACTGGTTCTAATCCCACCGGCCCTGCTTCCCATCCAGCATCCTGCCTCTGGTCTGGGAAAGCAGTCGAGGACGGCCCAAAGCTTTGGGATCCTGCACCCACTTGGGAGACCTGGAAAAAACTCCTGGCTCCTGGCTTCGGATTGGCTCAGTTCCAGCCATTGCGGCCACTTGGGCAGTGAATCATCGTACAGAAGATCTTCCTCTCTGTCTCTCCTCTTCTCTACATATCTGCCTTTCCAATAAAAATAAATAAATCTTTTATAAAAAAAGATGACACTTTAAGTGACCAGCATCATAGAACACAATGGGTTAAGCCATGGTTTGTGATGCCTGCATCTCTTATGGGGGCAGGCAGAGTCCCAGCTTCCCCACTTCTGTTGCTGCTCTCTGCTAACATGCCTTTCAAGCCCCCAAGAGCAAGGATCCCATCCTATTTGTGCATAGTACATGGTACATGCTGGTTGGTTCTTGTTAGGTTGACAGAGACTTGCCTGGCAGGGCCAGAGAGCAGAAAGGTGCCAATAGAGGAATCAGTAGGAGGAGTTCTCCGCTGGTCACAGCTGTCTGAGATGGGCCAGGCTTCTTGGAAAGGACTAGCCTCGGGTTATGGGGAAGCCAGGTACCCCAACTGTTGGGACACTGCAAAAGGAGGCTTGGCTGTGGATGGTTCCAACAGTGTTAACTGTTCTGAGACATTTTAATCTCAGGATCCCTTCATCTATATATATATATTTTTTTTTAATTATTTGACAACCTTTCTTTTTTTTTTTTTTTTATTGGAAAGGCGGATATACAGAGAGGAGAGACAGAGAGGAAGGTCTTCCGTCCGATGATTCACTCCCCAAGTGAGCACAACAGCCGATACTATGCCGATCCGAAGCCAGGAGCCTCTTCCAGGTCTCCCACGCGGGTGCAGGGTCCCAAAGCTTTGGGCTGTCCTCGACTGCTTTCCCGGGCCACAGGCAGGGAGCTGGAAGGGAAGCGGGGCTGCTGGGATTAGAACCAGTGCCCATATGGGATCCCAGGTGTGCAAGGCGAGGACCTTAACCACTGCGCCATCACGCCAGGCCCTCAGGATCCCTTCAAACACTTAAAATTACTGAGGAATCCAAAGAGCTTTTGCTTATGTTGGTTGTATGTAATATCATTTACTGTATTGGAAATTAAAAGTGAAATTTTTAAAAATGTACTCATTAAATCATTAAAAATAATAGGAAATGCATTATAATTAACACAAGATATTTTTAAAGATGGGGCTGGCACAGTGGCACAGCTGGCTACTACTCTACCTGTGGCTCTGGCATCCCATATGAATGCCAGTTTTAGTCCTGTCTGCTCCACTTCCCATCCAGTTCCCTGCTGTGGCCTGGGAAAACAGTGGAGAACAGCCCCAACCCTTTGGAATCTGCACCCAGATGAGCCCAGAAGAAGCTCCTAGCTCCTGGCTTCAGAGCAGCCAAGCTCTGGCCACTGCAACCATTTGGGGAGTGAACTAACAGATGGAAGATATTTCACTCTCTTTCTCTCTCTCTCTCTCTGTGTCCTTCTCTTTGTAACTCTGACTTGCAAGTAAAATAAACACATCTCACGGAAAAGAAAAAAAAGAGTCCTCCTTTCCAAAACAAGAAACCAGTGAGATGAGCAGCACAGTTGCACATTACTTCGCAAATCTCTTCATTGTCTGGCTTAAAAGAGAGCTCAAGTCCTACACTGGCCTCTGTACTTAGCACACTGCGGTATGGTGCTTTGGTTAAAGTATATGAGGTAAATGCAACCTCACATAAAACAAGAAATTGGAAAACAAAAAATCATTTTATAACTTTTCCAGGAAACTAGGGTCCTCCTTTAAGACTATGTTAAGGCTAGAGAGGGAGTAGTATATTCATGTAGAATCGGCTTTTTAAATATTTAAAAATCAGAAAGTGAGAGAGAGTCAAAGAGAAAGAGACCAAAAGATCTATCTTCCATCCATTGGTTCATTCAGATGGCCACAGCAGCCAGCGATGGACCAGGGAGAAGCCTAAGATCCCACAAGATGGAGGTACAGACAGAGGGAGGGTCCACCTGTTTAGTGCCCTGATACCTAATACATAGGATCCACAGCCGGCATCTATAGCCAGTTTGCCACCTGCTGCAGGTGTGTGAGTGAGCAATGACAAGCTGGGCACACAGACCCAGGCTCCTCACTGATACCACCCTTTGATATGTGCTTTTGTTTTTTCTGTGTGTCTTTGATTTTTCTGCACTTTGTTAGTTTGCAAAACCCATTTACATTTGTTCTCTTATTTATTTCGATCTCTCTACCTAGTGGGACCCTTCCATAGTCCCCCTGCCCCACTTAACGGAGACTGTAAAATGATGATGTTAAGGGTTTATGATGTTTTTTCAAAGAAGAAAAAAATAAAAGGCAAACAAATGAAACTACAGGATTAGGGCTCTATTCTCTTTTAACTATCATGTTTTGTTTGTTAGTTGGAGACAGAATGGAAGTGACAGAGAGCACACTTCCATCTACCTGCTCATCCTGTAAATATCCACAGCCACCAGGTGGCTAAAACCAGGAGGCAGGAGCTCAACCCAGGTCTCCCCTGTGGATGGCAGGAACCCAGTCACTTAAGCCATCACCTGCTGCATTTGTAGGATGCTGTGATGAGAAGCAAGAGCTGGGAATGGAACCCATGTACTCGGATGTGGAACGCAAACATCCTAACCAACATCCAAACCACTAGGGTGAACACCCACCCCGTTGTTGTTTTTTTTAAAACCAACATTAAACAAAAGACTTTTTTAGACTGCCCAGGTCTCCCATTCTAGAGGTGCAAAGACAAAGTCAAGCAGGTCAGCTCCCACTCAGTAAGGGAATATGAGCAAGGGCATGTAGCTCCTTGACAGAGGCGTAAGGTGAGCTCAGGGAAGGAGACAGGGCCTGCTCGGGGACTCACAGGTCCTTCATGGTTCAGCCAGGGAGAAAACAGAAGCAAGGATCCTTCCCATTCCCACGCATAGGTGCCCTTCCTGGGGCTGGCCCATGGGGTCTCCTAAACATACCCAGGTAGCCCCAGAAGCCTGATCCTCACAACAACACAAAGAGCAAGGGTCCCACCTGTGGGGAGCTGGCCATGGGTCCAGCCATCATGCCTCGCACAATGAGGCCCGCCTTGGGCCTGTTCTTCTCTCCTGCCTTCTTCATGTCCACAGTGGGCTCTGGGTGCTGTTTTTCCGTCTTCTCCCATGCAGAAGACAAGGGCAGGCTATCACCCGCGACTGTGTGCAGGGGCTTACTTTTGTGTGGCGACCTTTTAGATGACACAGAATTACCAAGCACATCCCCATCAGGATTGTCATGTCTGTTAAAAAAAAAGATAATGGAGAGTAGCATTCCAGGAAGTGAGACACACTGCAGTATGCATCTCTACTCCTGAATAAAAGATAGACTCCCAATGAAACTGTTAAATATATCTTGAATACATCATGAATAAACGATGCATGCACTTCAAAGGTTTTGCACCAAAATAAACTCATCTTTTAAATCCATTTTCCCATGTGAACTGCCTGAAGCAGTCTCATGCATGCATATAACCTATTGGATATTTGCTTCTCTGGAAAACATGGACTGACAGTCATCAACTGTCAGTCAACAGCCACAGGAAACTAACACAGACAGCACACAGAGAAAGAGGTACCTGGCTTTGCTTGCTTCCGCCAGCGAGCTTCTCCAGCCCACATCCTCATCTGAAAGGTCATATATATTGACCAGCATGGTCTCAGAGCACCTTGGTGGCAACTTGTTACTCTTCTTGGGAAGTGAGAGGGCAGGGATTGGAGTTGCTTGAGTTAAACTGTTGGCTGCATGTCCAACGTAATCCAGAAAATATCTGGTGATAAGTTCAAGGTTTGTTTTCAGTGGATTTTCCTTTGCCTATCATTGGGAAGGAAAGCAACCATTAGTTGAATGTGCAGATTCAGGGAAAACATGGGACAGCTGGGTATTCCCATTCTATAGCACACAGCTGTCATCTTCTCATTCACACGCAGTCTGAGCACACCAATGCTGGCTGTCCATCACTCATGCGGGGTTTATGCTGCGTATGGATATAAACATGAAGAACTGACAGTCAATGTATAAACCAGGCAATCCATGAACAATTATAACCAATTGCAGTAGGAACGCAGGCAGGTGTGTGGTACTGTGGTTAAGTACTACTTGAGACATCCATATCCCATATCAGAGTGCCTTGGATACAAGTCCCACTTCTGTGCCAACCCAACTTCCTGTGGGTTCCTGTCACCCATCTGGGAGACCCAGGTGAAGCTCGTGGCTCTTGGCTTCAGCCTGGCCCAGCCCAGGCTGTTGTAGCCATTTGGGAAGTGAACCATGGATGGAAGATCTCTATCTCTCTATCTGCCCTCCAAACTTAAGACAAAAAGGAAAAGAAATAAAACAGTTATAACAAATTCAATTTTGCATATGCCTAACAGGGAGGAATAAGTTACTGGAAATATTAACATTAAATTGCAGGCTTGGCCAGAATCAGGCTAGCTTTGTACTGAGTGAATGCCAAAGGGATGATGCAATAGGAAAACCGATAAGTACTTTATTTCTGGAAAACACAGACTTCCATTCATTGTAGAACAACTAATAACTGTGTAAATCTAACAATCAGCGTACTTAGCAAGCTCTAATAAAAATATCTTAAGGATCTTAAGATAATAGTTACCTGAGGAGGACTATAGGATTGTGAGGAAATAAAAATAAACTGAATGGCAAAAAGATTCCTGGGAAATTGGGTAAAGTCATGTTTATATAAGAATTCCAGCATACCAGAACATCTGGGTGAATGTTCTCTGTAATTGTTTCACTCTATACAAAATCTCTCTGGAAGGCAGAGCACCTGCTCCCACATGATGGCAGCCGAGGGAGGCGGACAGGAGGCCTTTGGCCTGGAGCACGGGCCTCCTTCTGCATGCTTCAGCTCAGTGCATACAGAAGCCGGGGGCACCTGAGTGCCACCCCGAGACCCTGAGGACCGTGCTTGGTCTATTTGCTGAGCCTCTGTACTGGTCTCCCCAGCCTGCCATGCCTCTTCCTTTTCATTTTCTTTATTTTTACATATTTGAAAGGGAGACCAAGAGACAGAATGAAATCTTCCCTCTAATAGTTCATGTTTCAAATGACCACAGCAGCTAAGGATTGGACCAGCTAAAGCCGTGGCCGGGCACTCAAGCTGGGTCTCCCATACAGGTGTCACCTGGGCTACACATGAGCAGGGAGCCACAGAGTCCAACCTCCAAACTAGTTCAACAAGGCTATTAATACCCTCAACAAGCATGCTCAGTACCGAAACAGGGAAACCATGGGGTACCCTGATTCTCTCGGAGCACAGAGCCCTCTCCCCATTCAGGAACCCAGGGCTCCCATCCACCTGGCCCAGCTGAACTCAATCCCCACTTCTGCCTGAATTACAAGTCATGGTAGACTTGAGAACATAGTGTTACTCAGACTGAAGAAGGAAAATATTGTGCAGGCAAGAGACGGAAAATATTAGCATAGCTGAATACTATAATCTTAAATCCTGTCCTACTAAAAATAGCCTTGAGTGGGGAGGAGGCAGCACAGGGCGGAGGGAAGCTGAGTACAGCTACAGGTCAGGTTCAAAACAATGGCACACACACACAATACACCCATGGGCAGCACAGGCTGGGGGAGGCTGCAAAGCAACCCCTTGTACTTGAGATCTGCCAGCACTGGCTACGTCTCCGTCTCTCTCTCTCTCTCTCTCTCTCTCTCTCTCCCCAACTCCAGGTGTGGCAATCAATTAAGACTTGCCCAGACTATTGTCCACAGTGGCAAGGCCCGTGAGTGGTCTGGCTTCGCCCAGCTTGGCTCCAGAGGCGCACGCTGTACCTTCAAGGGCACACACCTTGTTCTCCTTGTAGAGGAATTCCAGATGCAGAACCTTACGCAGATCATTCCTGCTGTTAATGCTGAGATCTGAGCGTGGCCGTTCCTGGTCCATGGTCACGCTGGTCTTCTTTAAGCCCTACAGGGAGAGGAGAAGGTAACGCTGAATCACCCCACTTTCCATTGTATATCAAAGCTTTCCCTTCTGTGATGCACAGCGTGAGCAGAAGATTCCAGAGGGTGCCTTAAAATCATTCCCACACTGCAATCTTTGCCAAGCTACTCGGAGGACCACAAACTGACTACACAATCATCGTCATACAACCTACACAGTTGCCATCACTTTCATAGCTGTGATTCTGACTCTGCTGAGAGCCCCATGGGTGAAGCTAAAGGCTGGAGTTCCTAGTCTCTGGTGCAGAAAAGGGGAGAAAATGAAGTCACCAGTAACTCACCCACCCTGGGTCAGCTCAGGCACCCTGTAGCTGGCCCTGGATTGAGACTGCTATTTAATAAACAAAAGATAAAAAATATACACGGAAGGCCAGTATTCATTCCCTTTATCACTGAAACAGGAAATCCAAGAGACAGGGATGACCTGCCCAAGGCAGCACAGCCCAGTGGGGACCAGGGGTTCTGACCTTCTGAGCTACATTCTGTGACTCCGCCCTGGGAAGTACTTGGGAATCCTTTGCTGAGTGAGTCACCAGCAAAGCTGCTTTCCATCATCTGCACCTTCAATTCCCAGAAGGCCAAGGTCATTGTCATGGAATTGAAATGAGGTCATGCTCCCTCCTCCTCCAGGAGGAAATCAGCCTGTTCCCAGCTCTAGCCAACTGTCTAGGTTGCATTGTACCTAAGCAAGTGTTACACTGCTGGGAGAAAAACAGCTAATAGCTAGTGGGCATTCTGGGCCTGGTTAAAGTCAAATTTGTGCTAACTACAACAGTGTGCCAGCACAGCTGCCTCTTCTACTTTTCTTTTTAAGCTATTGTGAGGGGTGGGGAGGGCAGACACCTGCACGCCAGCAGACAGAGTACCCAGGCTGGCATGGCACAGTCCCAGAGGACCAGGCTTGGGGATCTGTGTGCTCGTGGGCATGAGGGGCTGCAGATTGCTCAGGAAAGCAGGTCTGGAGATGTATGGGAGGGAGAACTGCTGAGGGAGAACATGACAGGTGAGAAGCGACTTCTCAGGGACTTCCACTGACCAGGTTACTGCATTTGCTAGTAAACGAGAGGGCTGAGACTGGGTGGTTCAAAGGAGGGAAACTAGAGGACCTTTCAGGGCGAAATCAGTATACCCACCCATGTAGGAGACCTGAACTGGGTTTGTTGGTATCAACCACCACCTACAGGTGTACACAAAAGCCATGGATGGGGACCCTGCCTGGAGGGGCTCAACCATAGTATCCAACAGTAAATGTGGGGGCAGGGTTGGACCATGTGAGGCTGGGGCATGACATTAACCAGTATGCAAGAGCACTGGGTCTGGGAGCAGACTCTGTGGGCAAAAATGGGCTCACCCCTGTGGGACTGCTATACAGCTGGTTTGCTCAAACACTCGAGATGGCGCCAGGCCAAGCAAGACTACAGAACTCAGCAACACTCATAGGTACTGTGGTTAAGAACAGGTTAGGCTGGTCCAGGCTGCAGCATCTGCAGGTATATCCAATAATCTGGTATGGGGCAGGCCAGACTGCAATATCCGGAACCAGCACATACAAAGGCTAACACTGGGGGGCAGACTATACTAGGTAAACGCCTAACACCCACTAGCATGCATGAGCTCTGGGTCTGGGAGCAGGCCTGCTAGAAGAACTTGGGGAAATTCCCCTGTTGGGCTGTCACTCCTGTTGGTGAGCACATGAATCAGGGCTGGGTGTTGTACAGGCCAGGCACGGCTGCTTCACTTGTTGGCTGATACGTGAGTTGGCTCTAGCAAGGCAGACCAGGCATGGCTGGGCCAAACCATAGCATACAGGATGTGGAGTGTGGACATGCCAGGCTAGGCTAGGCTATCACATCTACCAGTTTGCATGAAAGCCAGAGATGGGTCAGGCAGGGCAGGGCCAGGCTACAGCACCCATCAGCAAGAGTTGGGACCAAGGGTGGGCCAGGACAGGCCAGGTTACAGCATCTGATGGCAAAGGCCAAGCCGGGTGATGGATTATGCCGGGCTAGGTCGGAACAACCACTGGCACATGCAATATCTGTGTCTGGAAGCAGGCCTGCTTGGGGAGCTAAGAAGATGCCCCAGCTGGGCTGAGGTTCCTGCTGGTGAGCACAAGAGTCAGAATGGGGGTGGCAAACTGGGTTGGACATGGCTGCAGTATCCCTCAGCCTGGGTGTGGACTGGGTCTGGAGTGTGCCAGACTGGGCTAGGCTCCAGTATCCATTGGTGCTCACAAGAGCCAGAATGGGTATAGGACAAGCTGGGCTAGTTCTCTGCACCTGCTGAACCATGTGAGAACTGGATCTGAGGGTGGGCTGGTTGGGCAAAGCTGCTGTAACTTCCTGGACAGGAGGTGGGCCAAGTCAGACTAGGCCAATAACCCACCAGGATGCATGAGATATGTGACTAGAAGGAGGTGACCTGATAGAGGAGTTTGGGAACTCCTCTATCAGGACACAGTCCCTGCAGGTAGACAAGAACCAAGACTGGGAGCCTGGCATGTTAACCTAGTGCCTAAATCCTCACCTTGCATCTGCCTGGATCCCATATGGGCGCCAGTTCATGTCCTGGCTTTTCCACTTCCCATCCAGCTCCCTGCTTGTGGCCTGGGTGGACAATGGAGGATGGACCAAGGGATTGGGGACCTGCATCCTCATGAAAGGACCAGAGGAAGCTCCTGGCTCCTGGCTTCAGAACAGTTCAGTTCCAGCCATTGCACCACTTAGGGAATAAAACGACAGATGGAAGATATTTCACTCTGTATCTCCTCTCTCCTTTCCAATAAAAAATAAATTGTCAATTTAAAAAAAAAAAAAAAAAGGCCAAGAGCAACCAAGACCAGGCCAAGTTATAGTACCTGCTGATATACATGTGGCTAAGGTCTGGGGCCGGACCAGGCGGGGCCAGTTCATAGCACCCATTGGCAGATGTGAGAACCAGGATGGGGTAGAAGACAGGCCAAGCTAGGCCACAACACCAACCAGTTCATATTAGGGTCGGGGCTGGGACTATCCAGGCTGGGCTAGGCTGCAGCACCCGCCAGCATGAGTTAGAACTAGAGGTAGACAAGGCCAACCCAGGCTGCAGCACCCACCGGTGAATGTCAGGGTGAGGCAGGCAATGCCAGACAGCGACAGCACCCACCAGCTCATGTAGTGGGGTGGACAAGCCTGGTAAGGGGCTACAGGGGCTTCCCAACTGAGCCACTGCTCCCACTGTTGAGTATGAGAGCTGGGACTGGGACAGACCAGAATGGGCAGGTCTACAGAACCCACTGGCCTGTATGTTAACTGGGTTAGGGGGGAAGCCAAGCTGAGCTAAGTAGCCATATCCACTGGTGCATGTGTGAGCCAGAGTAAGTACGGGCTGGTTGGGCCTTGCCACAGTATCAACTAGAAGGTTCTGGAACTCGGGGCAAGCCCTATCAGGCTAGACTGCAGAACTACCTGGAAAGTGCAAGATTCAGGGCTGGGAATGAGCCTAGTAGGGAAATTGTGGGCACCCCTCTGATATACTGCAACTCCCACCAGTGACCATGAGAACATGGACCAGATAACTGTAACCACCAGTATGTGTGAGTAAGCTGATGTGAGTGATGAACTGAGCCAGATCCCACACTTGCTGGCACACACAGGAGTTAGGTATGAGGCCACCTCTGGTGCGGTTTCTTTGAGGATCCCCCAACTGGATCATTGGACAGGTGCAGGCATAGACACGGCCCACTGGGAAAAGTGTGGTAAAGGGAGAGAAGGGCGATTCTATGGAGGATACAATTGCAATGTCGGGTGGGGAGGGCACCAAGGCTGAGGGACTGTGCAAAGCTGGCAAGAGTGACACAGTGTGAAAGCAGGGGAGATGGAGGAATGGATCCCAGGGAGCCACAAGGATGGATGAGCCAGCAAAGAGAACAAGGGGGAGCCTGGGGGTGGAGCTGTTGGGAAGGATGCACAACACCATGAATGACAGCTGGCTCGTGACCCTGCAGGGAGGATGAGTCAGGGTCACTGCAGGAGAGGAGCCAAGGGCTGGGGTGGCTGAGGCACCAAAAAGTCTCCAATGGGCCCTGACATCAACAACCTCAGGAGCTTCCCAGGGGCACAGACCAGGCTGATGTGACTGGAGGGCAGAGGGTGAAGAAAGCCACCGGAGTGTAGGGGTCTGAGGCCCCGTGTGGGAGGTGACACAGACACCAACAAGCCAACCACAGATGAGTCAGTCCCTCCCGCTGAGCTCTCCAGAAGCAATGGAGACTTGGACATGTCAAACACCTTCCCAGGTCTACACGGTGGAATTTAGAAGTCCAAGCCAAGGGGACAGCCGCGATATCCACTGCTGGCCACGAGAACTTGTCCCACCCTGTGGGGGAAGTTCTCTTCCCGGAGGCTTGGAGCCGGTAGGTCACGGAGGCTCGGCCTTGGGCCTAGCAGGCCGCGGGACATCAAACCGGGAGGGCTCAGCCGGGCCCCCTCACAGCCTGGCACCACCTGGTCTCGCGGACACTGGTGGGGGACACTGGCAGCTACGTGCCTACCGGAAGTGCAGGGCTGCGGGTGACAGGAAGGGCTCCTGGGAACTGTAGTTTCCTTTAGGTCGAGAAGCGGGCGCTCTGGCCAGGGGAAAGCATCTGAGGGGACAGGCACAGGAAGGAAGGTCTCCCCTCTCAAGGAGCAGATTACAGGCGAGCCCTCACGCTGCTCCCCAAAATGACGGTAAGCGTGTCCGGCTTTGTGGAAGGCGCTGGGAGGGTCCTTACCTTTCTGCTGAGGAACTCCCTGACCAACGAGGCGGCCACCTCCTCCACGAAGAGGTTGTCCATGTTGCCGCCTCTGCCCACGAGACCCTTGCCGGCCCCCCACACACACTCACTGGCGGTTGGGCCCAGTATGGCCGCGTTGCCATGGCAACCGCGGCCTCCGAACGGACGGGCGGGAACTCCGCCCCTTCCCTGGGAGCCCGCGCGCCCGGGAGTCGGCGGCGGCGGGAGGAAGGAGGGGGAGTGTGCTGCACAACTGGAGGGATCCCATGTGGGAGCCCGGCTCCTGGGTGAGTGAAGAGGCACTGCCGCTCTGAGTGCCCGGGGTCCGTCGCTGTTCCGACCCCGGTGTGCACGTCTTCAGATAGTAAATAACTGGAAGAATGCCTTCCTCCTTGTTCGTGGTGGACTAGAGTCACAGCTTTCCCTCAGCTCCCCAGTCTTGTTGATCTCTGTGGACTTGGGACTCCTGGGGCAAGGAGACCTGGGGCTCTGCTCTCTGAGCCTTTACCTTTGAGGACAGCCTGCTGACACCCTGGAGGATGGCCATGGGTCCAGCATCCAGAGCTTGCACAGGGGAGGTGGGGTGGGCTGGCATCCTTAGTCCTTCCAGCAGCTGTACAGCAGCCTACACTGTAGGCTGTATTCCTTTAAAACTGGACCCTGACCGGCAGGTCCTGGGTCGCTTGGACCTGGGTCCTTGAGCCCCAGTGGTGGGGGGTCCAGTGGGTCCTGGGTCACATGACCTGGGGCCATTGGTCTGCCTGCATGGTGGGTGCTGAACCCATGAGCCTCAGGGTTGGGGGCCCAGCTTGACCCTGGGTCTCCTGACCCAGGTCCTAGAGCCCATCTACATAATGGGTGTCGGGTCTGTGAGCCCAGGTGGGTGTGCTGAGAGATACACACCTAGAGAAGGGCAGGGGTCTGTGCATTGCCTGGAAAGGCATGAGCTGGGGGCTGGCGCCGCACTAACAGGAATGCTGATACCTACACAAGCCCAACAAAGGCCCGAAGCAGAGGGTCCACTGCAAGGACCCCTGGGCTCTGGATTCAGCTCTGTCTCTTGGCTCCTGTGCGTCTCTGGCTTAAGTCATCTATCTTGGACTCCTGACGCTCAAAACTAGGGATCGGATTAGGTCGTTTTGCAAGCCTCATGTACCTCTGACCCTTGGAAAAAACAGCATGAAAAAGTCAGTATGTGTCAAACCTACTGCTTCTCAGAGCACTTCTGCCTTGATGACTTCCTGCTTCTAAAATTTTCTTGTAGGTTACCTAAAAAGTCTCCCTGCTACACAGATGGGAAGTCAGGGAACAGGGCAGGGAAGGGAAGCTCAGCCAATGAGTAGAGGCCTGAGCCCAGCACCCAGACCCCCTGACTCTCACCAGGACTGCTGGGTCAGCCCTGTAGGGCATAGCTAGCACCAAGGTGCTGAACAAAAAGACACAGGATGACCACTTGTGCTCAGGGGAGACCATATTGGCTCCTTTCTCTCCTTGGCCTGTCCAGCAGGCTCTCCTTCTGCTCCCAGACCTCCCAGACAGCGCCAGTCCCAAGTCAGCCCTTCTCCCTTTGGTCCCTCCCAGGAGCGCCTTGTCCTAATTTGCACAAAGGCCTCACAGCGGCTGGGAACAACCCCAACACCCTGGCCACCCAAAGCCTCACTCTGGAGCCGGATGACGCGTCTGAAGTTGCACTGCCCAGGTGAAACATACACAAGAATGCATCAGAAAGCGTGGCCAAACTGAATTAGAAGTCTTTATTATGATGCCAAGCAGTGTTAAATCCAGGCTTAGATTTTTTTTCATAACTGACACTTCTCATGAGATTTGTGAAGACTGCTTCAATACACAAATCTCATGTTCTTACACTGAAATAAACCTCATTCCTTGAGCCTGGTGCGGTAGCCTAGTGGGTAAAGTCCTCACCTTGTATGCACCGGAGTCCCACATGGGCGCCAATTCCTGTCCTAGCTGTCCCACTTCCCATCCAGCTCCCTGTTTATGGCCAAGGAAAACAGTAGAGGAAGGCCGAAACCTTGTACCCATGAGGGAGATCCAGCGGAAGCTCCTGGCTCCTGGCTTCAGTTCAGCTCTGCCCGGGCCATTGAGGCCACTTGGGGAGTGAACTAGTGGACACAAAATCTTTCTCTGTCTCTCCTTCTTTGTGTAAATCTGCCTTTCTAATAAAAATAAATAAATAAAATCTTTTTAAAAATCATTCCTGTTATCCATGAACTTTTTGAGGTGCCTTTGCACAGGACACCTGTCAGATTTGCATTTCACACCAACAGCAAATATTGACATAGGGTAAGCATATTCCATGCAATTTGGAGGGCACACGAATCCTAAAACTTTTAATGCTGTTGACTTACACGTCAGTTAACGGGCCACTCTGTGTTTTCATGCATTACATCTGTCAACACTGGCCTGGAGGCAGCAATACAGCCAAGCTGACTCCCATCGGGTTGCGAAAGGCAAGTGGAACATGTTTCTGAGCTCTGGGAGTCAGTTGTCAAACCGCTAGCAGCTCAAAGTTCACCATGGTTGACTTGCCTCAGAAATGGTCAACCGGCGCAAATCAGGGCCTTTCTTTGGGGAAAGCTAGTTGTGCAAGGTTTTCTGATACGCCCCTTTCTAGAAATTTTGTATCTTTTGCAATGGGAGCAACGGACCATCCAGTGTCAGACGGCATCTAAGCACAGCTTGTTAGCAGGGGGAACATTCCAATCTGAGAGTCTAAAGCCAGCTATGCTGCGAGCTCTGGAGCCAAAGGCCAGGATGTCAGCCCCTAGGGAGGAGGTCCAGCAGTTCCAGCTGGCAGCCAGGGGTGGCCTCAGGGCCCGGACCTCTTGCGGGCCACGATGAAACACAGGCCCTTGTTGGGAGCAGTGCTGGCCGAGTAGCTCCTGGCACTATGCAGGAGCCTCTCGATGTCAAAGCCAGCGTCCAGCACAGCCTGCTCCACCTCCTCCTTCCTCAGGAACACGCAGGAGAACTTGCGCTTGCCCACCATGTAGGACGACAGCTCAAGCGTGACAGTGGTCACCAGGTGGCCACCCGGCTTGAGCAGCGAGGCCAGGTTGCACAGTGCGGCGCGATAGGCATCCAGGCTGCAGCAGGCGCACTCCATGGCCAGCAGGGTGAGCACGCAGTCAGCCGGGGGCAATGTCACGGGTGCCAGGGGGTTGCTCAGGTTGGCATCGCACTTCAGCACCCGCTTCACCACGGCACGCAGCTTCTCTGCCTTCTCCTGCCACCGGCCACTGCCAAAAGAAGAGCAGGGTTCAGGCCAGTCAAGTCTGCAGTTCCCAGTCCGTCATGGCCATCCCTAAGTCCCCAGAGTGTTGCTGGCCTAAGTCTCTGGGTAACCTGGCAGATGCTAGCAGACTAATCTCCAGTTGCCTCAGTTTCCATAGCAGGAAGATGGTCAGGGAGAATGCGCCAGAACAAGCACTCTCTAACTCCATGCCAGCCTCCTTTCCAAGGAGCCCGAGAATGGATTGGGTAGTCAATCAACTGTTGGATGAATGGGTGAATGATATATATATAAGGGCATCATTGTCTTTAAAATACAATGTTGAGAGGTGAAAAGCAGGGCCAGAAGATTCACAGAGCAATTCAGACTTAGAAGGTTCTAAGGTGAGACGTGAAGATGTGGCAAGTTTATTTTTTAAAGATTTATTTTATTTTTATTGCAAATTTAGATACCCAGAGAAGAGGAGAGACAGAGAGGAAGGTCCTCCATCCAATGATTCACCCGCCAAGCAGCTGCAACGGCTGGAGCTGAGCCAATCCAAAGCCAGGAGCCCAGAGCCTCTTCCGGGTCACCCACGCAGGTGCAGGAACCCAAGGCTTTGGGCCATCCTCCACTGCTTTCCCAGGCCACAAGCAGGGAGCTGGATGGGAAGCAAGGCCACCAGAATTAGAACCAGAGCTCAAGACAGCTGAATAGAACCCTATAGCCATTTTAAGGTGTATAGCAGCCAGTTCTGTGTGTAAACTAAATTGAAATGTCAATGAAGTAATCACAGGATGTGGTTAAGAACTTGCATTTTTTAACATATTTGTTACTCAAAACCATGTCAATTAATTCCATAATGTTGTAAATTGTTGTTGATGTTATGTTGTGGCTTTTAATTGATCGGGATGATATTCTGCCAGCTCTGCTTTCAGACCAGAGATGGTCTCCTCAAGAAACCACTGAATTTATCTGGACAATAAGATGCTGGACTCTATGCTTGCAATGAAAGAATTTTGACTAATTTGAACTGTAATGCAACAAGGTGGAGGAACCCACCATGGGAGGAGGGTATGGGGAGGGGTTGGGGGAATCCCAGAGCCTATGAGACAGTGTCACGTAATGCAATGTAATCAGTAAAAAAAAAATACATATATATACTGAACCTACCAGTCACATCAGGAAAATTACTCTATGCTTTAGTTTCATCATCTCTGAAATGTTCCTTTGGTTCATTGCTAAAATAAATGCTTAATAGATAATGATTAAAAAGCAAAACAAAAAAAGAACCAGAGCCCGTATGGGATCCCGGCACATGCACGGTGAGAACTGTAGCTGCTAGGCTACTGCACTGGGCTCAAGTTTTCTTTTCTTTTCTTTTCTTTTTTTAATGGAAAGGACTCACACACACTTATAACAATTGCTTTGGGCGTGGGGAGGCAAAGAAGTAGGAGAAGCACAGATATGTCAGGTTGGGTGGGGGCTTGTGTCATTTGTAATAGAATCTCAGGCATACTGGAGGAGAAAGAAAAGATAGGTGAATGGGTGGATCAGTGATTGGTCATATAGATGAGAGGAAGGGAGGTAGAAAAATTGCTGGCAGGCAGAGGCAGGCGGGCTCCTAGCATGTGGTCATTAGCGGTCTTGGCTGTCTCCCATCTCAGCACAGTCCCCTGACCCCAGGACTTGACACCATCTGTACTAGCTCAACCCTCCTCCCCCCTAAGGCATCTGGTCCTGCCCTGGGAGATCAGGAACCACTGAGAGGCCAGAGAGACCTCTGAGAGAGGAGGCTGGTGCCCATCCCGCAAGTACCCTGCCCTGAGCCCCACCTGTCCCCTTCCAGCTCGCAGGCGAGCTTCAGGGCCGGCGTCCAGTCATAGGCCCCCGGCTTCTTCTTCAGCCACTTGTCCAGCTCCTCCCGGTTGCGGTCAGTGAAGTCAGACAGAGTGATGTCTCTGAAGGACTCACAGGCAGAGAGAACTTGGTAGATGGTCGGGCCCGTGCCGATGTCGATCAGTGTGTCTCCTTGGAGGCCCCCTGTGACAAGGAAAGGGGTCTCCGAGACGGCCAAGGGGCAGGTTAAAGACACGAGACCCTGGACAGACGGACAGGTGAGGGAGGACACACACCCTGGTCCTGCTCTCAGGTTTCCACGGCTGGACTAGCCCCACAACAAGAGTTGTGTATGCATTCATGTTCCCTTAGACCCCAGAACCTCCCTCCAGACCACCACCCTTAGCCCCATTTTACAGACGTGAAAATAGAGTCTGAGAATAGTTGTAAGGAGCCCAGCATTGTTCACGCAAGTACAGAGGCCAAGAACCTCAGAACCCGGCTGGAGTACTCTGAGAAGCCATCCTGCAGGTGGGGGTGGTAGTTTCAGGCCGATGGGGGCTGGGGCATGTCCATGTTGGCTGTCTGGTCCTAACTGGTGGTCTCCAGGCCCAGGAAGCACGGGGTCAGGAGTGGGTAGACACTCGGGACGATCCCAGGGGTGAGTGGAGAGTGGCCTGGCAGCTGAAATGAGGTGTGATTTCCAGGATTCCGTTGCCAGACTGGAGCTGCCTGCCTGAGGGTCTACTTGCAACCAGGCTGTTCTCTGAGCTGTACCTTCCCCTCTTACCCCAGCCATGAGGAGACACCCCAACTGCTTCCCAACCAAGCACCCCAAGGGAGGGCAAGGCTGTGCTTGCCCAGAAGACAGAACCAAGTCACTGGGTCCCCATGATGGGAGACAGGTGGTTACTGCCAGGAGGCAGATAGAGGCCACCACACACCCTACAAATGATCCAGTCAAGACCTCCGATATCGGCCTGCAGGCTGGCAGCCAGGTCCTGAGAGCCCACCCATCACTCCTGAGGCGCAGAGCCAAGGCAGGACTACACACTGCATCCCATCACCATCCTACTGTTTGGCCTTCTTGGGGCCTCATGGCCCTGGTTATGCAAGGGCTAGGCTGGGCTTGAGCCTTGTCTGTGCCTCCCTGGAGATCAGAAGCGCAAGAGAACAGCGTGGAGACCACTGGGGGCTGTGCCCTGGGTACTGTGTGTCCTGATCCCCCGCTGGCAGGCAGATCCCTCCAGCAATAAAGCCCTGTGGCTGCCCAGCCCTGGGGCACCTCCTCCTCCCCTCCCCTTCCCCACCCACATCCCCATGCAGGGGAGAGTAGAGATCTGTGCTCACCAGGGCCAAAGGTCTGATGCAGACACTCCATGTTGAACTTGAGCATCTCTGACTCTGGTGAGGAGCCGCCATCGAATTTGTAGTAGGTGGCCAGGTAGTCCCCTGGCAGGAAGTTCCTCTGGTATTCCTCACCCCCGGTGAAGCCGCCTTCCATGGTGGTCATGAGTACATACGGGTCCTGCCTGTCCCTGGTCTTATAAAGGCTCCTGGGCTGCAGACTCCACCCCCAGAGTCCCAGTCTCAGCCCCACGTTCGTCCCACATCCACTAGTCAGTCTCACCCCCCACACTCCTCCCACTTTCATGTGTTCTTGAGTGTTTTCCTTGCGGGAAAGCAGGGGAGGAAAACCCAGGAACCTTTAATTGTACCAGAGCCAGAGCTGCAGACACCCTGGGTCTGCTTTCATCAGGAACTGAACCATGTGCATCAGGGGCAAGTGAACACGCCCCTCTCTGAGGTCAACTCTCATTTCTGGGGCAGTTGGAGAAGGTGTCAGGTCCTCCACTCTTCCATCTGCAAGCCCACTTCCAGCTGTGAGGACCATAGCTCTCTGCTGGACACCTGAGCAGGCCCAGCCAGTCCCCTAGTGATCAGGAGGTATCTAGGGGGTGTCTGTGCTGCCCAACCCTGAAAAGTAATGCTCAGACTCCTGTGCCGGAATGGACGGGTGGAGGGGGATGGCAAGGGTTAGTCAGCATCCCAGGCCACTGGGTAAATCCCAAATTTCCTCCACTGTCCTCTAGGAACTGACACAAGGAAGCCCAATCAGAAAGCAGGATGGCCAGGATTGTTGGCAGCTGCCACACTGTGTGATCCTGGGTAAGTCAGCTCGGGAGGCCTCAGTGTACCTGTCTCTACAATGGGTATAGATGATGAAAATCTCCCACAGAGAAAAGCCTGGTCTCCTCTTTTGGCACTGGGAAATGCCCCGTGACTTGGCTCTCAGCCAGGCAGAAATGACTCTGCTGCTGCTCTGGAGGTCCTGGCTGCCGCCCTGGAAGAGACAAAGACGAGAATATCTTGTTCTGCTCTAAAGTAAACAAACAGCCCAGCAGCAGCCTGCACCCTGGCCAGCTCAGGCTGCGGTCACTTACCCCGGCAGCCCCTGCCACTGAGGGCTGGACCTAGGACCATGGCCTGGGAACGCCAAAAATTGCAGAGCTGGCATTACATAACCTGTGCAGGGCTTGGGGGCAAGATGGCGCTGAGTGTCGTGTGTGCCGGATAGAGAAGCCACGGGAGCCCGCACCAGCCAGCCTGGTGTAAGGAAGCAGAATGGTTAAGATGTGCACCCAGACTGCGAGATGTAGCGTGAGCAATTGGCTGGCAGCGTGCGGGGCTAAGCACATGGAAGACCAAGAAACATCCAACACTGTGGCTCGAGTCCAGGTTCCTGTGCCTGCAGAACTCCCTGTTCCTCCTTCCTCGTGCAAGAACAGTCTTAGACGATCTGGATAAGGGGCATTTGCATACAGGTGAGCCTTCTCACTCTGCTGGCACCTGGCGTAGCAGGCAAGCTGCCTGTGGAGAACCCCAGCTCCACACTCAACTCCAGCTTCCTGCGGATGTGGCTACTGGGAAGCAGCAGGTGATAGATAGTTGAAGCCACTGGATTCCTGCACCCACGTGAGGAACCTGGATTGAGTTTGTGTCTCCTAGCCTCAGGTTAGCCCCATGCAAAAGCAAATTCAGAAAGGCTTAATAAAATACAGTGTAAAAGTTCCTGAGGAGGGCCCAGTGCCGTAGCCTAGTGGCTAAAGACTCACCTTACACATGCCAGTTCATGTCCCAGTGACCCCACTTCCCATCCAACTCCCTGCTTGTTGCCTGGGAAAGCAGGTGAGGAAGGCCCAAAGCTTTGGGACCCTGCACCCACCTGAGAGACCCAGAAGAGGCTCCTGGCTTTAAATCAGCTTGACTCTGGCCATTACGGTCACTTCGGGAGTGAATCAGCAGATGGAAGAGCTTGCTTTCTGTCTCTCCTCCCCTCTGTATATCTGACTTTCCAATAAAAATAAATCTTAAAAAAAAAACTGCACTTACAAAAAAAGCTTTTTAAAAAAGTTCCTGAGGAGGCTGTATGTGTTCATTGCCTTGGGGGCATCAAATGGCTGCAGAGTATAAAAAGTTAAAAAGTAACTGCTCTATTGAAGTGCCATGCGAAGTTTGTGATGGAGACTGCACTTGGGATTTAATGGAAGGAGTTAGACTTGTGTCCTTGCCCCATCACCTTCTACCCCACCTTCCTCCAGTATCCCGCGAGATCCTGTTGAATCCCAGAGGACACGGTGCTTGCCAACAACCTCCGTGTGATTCGGGGCTCACTGAAAACTGGACACGCATGAGGAATGGACATGGAGAGGCACACACAAGATGCCTAGCGTTGCGTCCCACTAGCATTTACAGGATGGGTTTGTGGCCTGCCTGGGGCCATGCTGACAACATGCAGAGCTCTGGACATGTCCCAGGCTTGAGGGTGATCGTCCAGCACCCACTTCCTGCCCCCTTCACATTCCAGAATCTGCACCTTCAGGCTTCAACCTGACTGTACACGCACTGACACTGGTCCAGCCCAAAGTCGAGTCTCTTACACGTCCAACCTGAGAAAGCACTTCTCCACCTCCCTAGCATGGGCATTTCAGGCCGGGAAAGTTCTTGCTGGAGTGGAAACGGCACAGATCCCCACTTGTGGCAACCCCAGGTGTTTCCACGAGAGGCAAGATCATGGCTGAGAACCTTGGTTAACACACAGTATCCTGTTCCTGCCGTTGCAATGCCTTCCTCCCGAGGACTGAGTCCTTTTAGGCATCTTTCTCTCTTCTGATTTTTTTTTTTAACAGTCCAAGGAGATTTCCATTCTAGTGGATGTAAGCCTTGATTTTAAGTAAATGAGCGATGTTCAAGGTGCCTGTGGGAGAAATGAGGCCCTAGCAAAGTCAACTATCTGGGCTCTGCCACACATGCCGGAGACCAGAGTGGAGTTTTCTCAGACCCGGCTTCAGCTTGGCCTAGTTCTGGCCTTTGTGGGGTGTGAACTAGGGAATGGGAGCTGTGTGTATTCGCTCTCTCTCTTCCTATCTGTGTCTTGGATAAATAAATACATTTTTAAGATTAAAAACTCAGTTCCAGGGCCCGGCGCCGTGGCGCAAGTGGTTAAAGGTCCTCGCCTTGCACGCCCGGGATCCCATGTGGGCGCCAGTTCTAATCCCGGCAGCCCCGCTTCCCTTCCAGCTCCCTGCCTGTGGCCTGGGAAAGCGGTCGAGGACGGCCCAAAGCTTTGGGAACCTGCACCCGCGTGGGAGACCCGGAGGAGGCTCCTGGCTTCGGATCGGCATAGCATCAGCCCGTTGCGCTCACTTGGGGAGTGAATCATCGGACGGAAGATCTTCCTCTCTGTCTCTCCTCTCTGTATATCCGCCTTTCCAATGAAAAAATAATAATAATAATAAAAAAAAAAAGTGAACCAGGGTAAGAAAAAAAAAAAAAAAACAAAAAACAAAACTCAGTTCCAGAGGCTATCACCATTGACTATTTATTAGGTCTCTGGAATAGGATTTCTAAATGTAGATAAAAGACCAAGGGCCCAGTGCGGTGGCCTAGCGGCTAAAGCCCTCACCTTGAACACACCAGGATCCTGGGCACACCAGGGCACTGGTTCTAATCCCGCCAGCCCTGCTTCCCATCCAGCTCCCTGCTTGTGGCCTGAGAAAGCAGTCGAGGACGGCCCAAAGCCTTGGGTTCCCGTACCTGCTTCAGAGACCTGGAGGAAGTTCCTGGCTCCCAGCTTCGGATTTGCGCAGCACTGGCCATTGAGGTCACTTGGGGAGTGAATCATCAAATGAAAGAGCTTCCTCTCTGTTTCTCCTCCTGTCTGCATATTGATTTTGCAATAAAAATAAATAAATCTAAAAAAGGAAAGACCAAAAGGAAAATATGAATGGATTATATTATCGTATTTTATTCCAGAAAAGTTAAATGTTCATTTTTAAATATTCAAAAGGAGCCAGCAAGCATTGTGGTGCATCCCGCATGAATGCTGGGTTTGAGTCCTGGATGCTTTGCTTCTGATCCCTTTGCTGCTAATGTCTGCGAAAGCAGTGGCCCAACTACTCAAGCCATCACAGCTATCTCCCAGGGTCTGTGTTAGCAGGAAGATGAAGTCAGGAGCAGAGCTGGGTGTTGGGTCCTTGGGATCCCATCACTCCATGTGAGAGACTCGGATGGAGTTCCGGGCTTCTGGCTTCATTCTGGCCCAACCCTACCCATTGTAACCATCTGGGAAGTGAACCAGCAAATGGACCATCGCCCCCTTTCTCCTCTCTCGCTCTCCCTCCCTCTCTGTAACTGTGCCTTTCAAATAAATAAAAACTGCTTACAGATTAAAAAACAAAACCTTTTCCTTTTGCACAACTAATTCAACAATTATTTGCACTAAATCATTGATATGAAAAGTTTTCAAGCCATGACCTAGTGAGTCCAATGTAAATCCACAAACCAAAAGACAGAGACACTTAGTGCATAAAGGAGACTGATTACAGCATGATTTGCAATGACAGAAATCCACAGCAGCAAGTTTCATCCTAATGTGTTAGGATATCACTGGGCACAGCAGCATTCCTGAGTTTGATGCCCAGCTCTGGCTCCTGACTCCAGCTCCCAGCTAAGGTGCACTCTGTAAAACAACAGTGATGTCCCAGCCATCCACCTGGGAGACCCGGACTCAATTCCAAGCTCCCAGCTTTGTCCCAGACCAGTCCTAGCTGTAACAGGCATTTAGGAAATGAAATAGTGTTACGGGATTCGTGATCTGAGAGATGAGATGCCAAAGCCTTTAACAGGAAATATTCTCTCCAAGAAGTGCAGCCCAGACAACTCTGCAAAGCAGCAAAGTGTATTGAGGAGGCAGGTAAACAGACCAGCCGGCTGGGCTCAGCTCTCCTTTCCTTCAGAGAGTGACCCCAAGGTGAGGGTTACAGAGGTTTTTATAGAAAGAGTGGATTATGCAGCTATGGGAACCAAGTGATTTGGGCAGCCACAAGAGTTAGCCATGAGAACGATGGGTGAAGCCAATCTTAACATTATTAATCTGTGGAACCGAGGGTTCCTGGCAGGGCATGTTACACCTTGTGCTTTGGCCCCCAAAGCAGGAAGCTG